GAAGTAGCCGCTAAAATGCCGAGAGCCGAAGTAGCTGTCAAAAATACAGATGAATCTGACAGTCAAAATTTAACAATCAAGATGAAATTAACAGCCAAAAAAGAGAGCGTTAAACGAAAATTACGGCTGAACCCATAGGAAAGAAACCAAAAAGGAAGAAATCGCAGTGCACTGTGTGCCAAAAGAAGGCAACAAATATGCGAAGGCATATGAGAACTCATACTGGTGAGAAGCCTTACAGTTGTTCAATATGCAAGAGAAGTTTCTCTCAACCACACCATGTGGAATATCATATGAGAACTCATACCAATGCGAAGCCGCACAGTTGTCGGAAATGCGAGAAAAGTTTCAGACTAAAACAACATTTGAAAAGGCATATGGCAAATCACAACAAAAATATGCCTCTCTACAATTGTACTTTTTGCGGTAAAGATTTCCTAACAAAATGCTATTTGAAAATACACAAGAAGAATCATGAAAGAAGCTGAAGGGCACATTTTAAACTGAAATTCGCGTTGTTTCGTTGATTATAAATTATATTTTTGTATTTAGTTCTTATTTTATTGATAAAATTCTATTGCTGTCATTATTTATCGCTTGCTTATAAGTATTCATTTTTTATCTTATATGCATAATAGTACCGTTTTTTTTCCATCCCTTTGTTGTTTCTTTCATTTTAGCGAATAAAATATCAGTTTTATTTTTACCTACAGACATACTAAATTATTTTTTCATTATTCGCGCATACATAACAAACAACTAACTGGCATGCTATACACACAGCAAGCGATTGGCATGCTATATGCAAATAAGTATCATTGTCATATTACTGCTTATCTTTGCATACTTTGGAACGTTTTAATGCTGTTAAAAGCAGGATAAAGCACGGCAATAATTTCTTTTTAGACATTAAAAATTTTTAACACAGTGTAAGATTGATAATTTCATGTAATATGGGAAAGCACAAGCGGAACAAACAGAGCTGTTGGATTTACCAGTGCAAGGAGTGATGGGGAAATAAATAGGATAATGAGAGTTATTGGTCGAAGAAGTCGCTAAAAGATACACAAAACTGATGAATTGGCAGCCAAAGAAGAGAGCGTTGGACGAAACAATATGTGTAAAAGGAAGT